TTTTTTTTTTTTTTTGGAGAGGGTTTTGCTATAGGGCACGTGCACTTGCCAGAAAGACAGAGAGACAGAAAGCGAGAAACCATCCCCGGGGGGATGGCCACGCCACAATCCCTTCTCCTCCATTCTCCTCTTGGGATCTTGGGCACACATGCACACATGCCCGGCGTGAGTTTAAGCCACTGGGTCTGGGACTCAAACCGCAGTCGACTACATGGGAGTCCAGCGATGCAGCCATTACGCCAACTGCTGGTTCCTCAATTAGTGAAATTTCTACGGAAGAAAAAGAACAGAAGAAAATATAGGAAACTATTAAAGAAGCAGTACAAGAATATACCGTAGAACTAAAGGGTGTGATTTCCATAGAGAAGAGCCCAGTGAGTTTTGGTGTACCAGGCTGAGAAGTTCGATCTGTACCAGAGTGTGTCCCCTTTACATTTCAGAGCAGTACAGTCTAAGGGGGTTTTAAAGACTTGAGTAGGAGGGGGATAAAGGATAGGGGAAAATACCCATGCATAAACAGTGACCACTCAGAACGCATTGGGTCACTAGACGGCAGTACTGGAGAAAGAAGACACGGTCCTGAGAGATTATTTTAAATTTAGAGTTCTAGATCAGCTAAACTATTACATGTCTAGAGTAAAGGCATTTTCAGAAATGTGATGTCTGAAACACACACACACACGCCCGCCATGCAGATTTATGTGTGTGTGTGTATTTATTATATAGCAAATATGTGTACAGGTGTGTGTGTGCGCATAGCAAATACATATATACACACGTGTACCTGCCATGCAGACTCTTTATTAATAGCTGGAAGATATGCTTCCTCGAACCAAGACAAACCACAGTTCCCAGAAACGTGGGCCCAAAGGCGTGCCCTGGACGGTGGGGAAGGGGTTAGTCAGAATGCCACCTGTGTAGCCGGGAGGGCAGAGGGCACCGGGCTCCGAGAGGGACGTGAGTGGCCTCGCGATCACTCGAGCACCCACGCGTGCCGGGGAGTTCAGCGGCCCTCAGGGCTTGGGCGAGGAGTTAGCGCCACGTCAGAGAACCGCGTAAGTGAAACGTGTGTGGCAAAGCAGGCAGTCGTCCTCAGGAGATTAAGCACCTACCGAAGAAAGGAGCGGTGGACCTGGAACATGGTTGAGATCATCTGGGAGCTGTGCTCCCGTAATTGTGTTAGTGCCAGCCACTCCGAATGTGATGTAAGTATCGAGACCACACGCTGACGTGGTGGCCTCTGAGAACCACGTCCGCCCCAACTGGAGTGGGTCGGCACGGGTGGTGGACGTAGGGGAGGGGAGGGAGCATGGGGCACAGGCTGGCTCTCAGGACGTTCGGCTCTGACGGAGACAGGGCCGGAGATGTGCAGGCGGAGGTAGGGGTGTTTAGGGAGCGCAGCCCTGACGGTGTTGAAGCTGATGAAGGAGCTTGGCAGGAGGGCAAGTGGAGCATCCGTGAGAAGGGGCCAGGCGGCTAGTGGAAGTCACTGAGCACACGCGGGGACGGACCTGGGCACACAGGCGGAGGGCTGGCCTCAGTCGTGAGGACCCGTCCATAAATAGCGGACGGGGAGGCTGGTGAGCTGTTTCCGTGGCAGGAAGAGGGAAGAATTCCATCCGATGGCTATTTTTTTCCTTTGGAAGGAGAAAACAAAGTCGGGGAGAGGGGTTGGCACTGCTCCGCAGGGCAGTCCGTAGATCCTGAACGGCACTGGGATGGCAGGCCACACAGGGCTTTCCTTAGGGTGCACGAAGGCGGCCTTAGATGTGACCCACGCCCCTCACCGGAGCTCCCCGCAGCGCCCCGCCAGCTGTTCAGGGTCGCCCAGAACTAGATGGTTGGACTCTAGGGGTTTTGCCAAAGAAGATGGGCCTAGGGACAGAGTTGGGAGAAGAGTGAGGGTGGTGTTGAGCAGCAGGGACCTGTCAGTCCTGGCGGGGCCACAGGAAGGGCAGAATGGAACCAGCTGTGCAGAAACCAGAGCTCCCACGCACCCGGCTCCCGTGCCGGGTCCACGTCCGTGCGGATTAGACGTGCTCATTCCTTTTATCCTGACAGCTCTGCGAGAGGCTCCTGAGAGCCAAGGTTCCCGGGAGTGCGGTGACGTGTTTCAGCGTCGTGGACGGAGGAGGGGGGACTCGGGTGGAGTCGTCAGCTCCGGAGCCCGCGCTGTAACCTGGTGGCCGGCTGACGCTCCACAGGGAGAGGAACAGTGACGAGCCCTGAGGAGCGAGGTGGCAGGCTGGGAGCAGTGACCATTAGTGATTGAGGTGACTAGAGAAGGAGAAGGGACTTGGGGGCCAGGGTGCAGCAGGAGCCCGCGAGCTGGTGTGTGTTACACGAAGGTAGAGGCTGGCCTGGCGGTTGCAAATGTGGAAACGACTGAGCCGTCACCAGGCGGGTGACCCCACAGGTCCTCAGAGCGGGGCTGTCTGTGGACCTTTCAGCCTCTGCGAGCCTGCGGGCTTCTGGAGCCTGGCGAGCCTGTTATTTCTAGGGCTGGCGACGGTGCTCGGTGCCCAGCGGGATGCGGGCAGATCGGCGTTCGCTGGGACCGTCCCGGTGTCGGACACTGTGTTAATGCCCTCCTCTGCTTGTTCTCTGTAGGAAGGCCCATAACAGCGGGGAGGACTCCGACCTAAAGCAGAGGAGGAGGTGAGCACGCGGCATGGGAGGAGCAGGGAGAGGGAGGGCGCCTGAGCGGGTTAGCCGTGCTCAGAGCTCAGGCTACACTGGGAGAGTTTTGGTTTCCCTGGTCCCGTGTCTCGGAGGAGCCGACTCAGGAACCTGTGGCCTGTGACAGGCCGCTGCAAACGTGGAGTGGCAGCCACACTCTTCCGCCCGCGCGGCAGCCCCCCTCTCGCTCTGGCGTGACGGGTCCACCAGCCGGTCCTCCTCGGGGCTCCTGAGGCTGCGGCCCGTGTTACCCGGAGGCCGTTCTCCCGTGGCGGAATGGCTGGAGGCCTGGGACCTCTCTCACCGCTCCCGTGGCCAGCCCGGGCTTCACGTGGGAGGGAGGCATCAGAAGCTACTGGTCCTGGACGGGCAGAGGGGCTGCCGTCCAGGACCATGTCCATGCAGGGGCAGGGACATAACTGCAGCTCTCTCTGTGGGGACGGAGCACATGGGACAGGCTTCTGTGCACGTTCAGCCTGCCTCAGAGCTTGGCGGGGCCAGCGTGCGAGTTTTGTTGGTGCCGTCGGTCTTCACGGCCCTTTCTGGAAGCACGATGATGTCTCCTCGGTTCGTTTCCGTGTTGTGCTGCGTTACTGTGTCTCCGAGCTCTAGGCTTCCTCAGATGCTCAGAAACGTGGAAGGGGGTAGGGTTTGGCTCGGTAATTTTGCTAAGCACCAACGTGAACGTTTCTGAAATTGTCCGTTTATCATAAACGTGAGTTTTTCCCATTGTTTTCTCACATTGTCCCCAGGTCGCGCTCCCGCTGCAACACCAGCAGTGGGAGTGAGTCGGAAAACTCCCACAGAGAGCATCGGAAGAAGAGAAACAGGTACGGCCTGGCGGTGTGGTGCTGGCCCCCGGGTAGAGGCGCCGGCAGAGGTCGAAGCCCGGGTCCCGGTCCCCGAGAGCTTGGCTCGCCCGCAGGTGCACCTCACCACACTGTGTAGACAGAGCCGAGAAGGAAACGTGGGACGCGTGACCCCAGCCTCACGTAGCAGCGCCCCGCGGCCCGCACCACTGGGGCTGGGCCTGGATGTGAACTTAGCTCCCGTTTTTCGTGGTGAATTCTACACCGTGCTCAACACCTGCACCCAACCACTTGCTGCGGAAAATGAAAAGCCTTTGGGGCCAGCATGTGGTGTGGTGGTGAAGGTGCTGGGTTCTCACATGGCCAACCACGGTTCGAGTTCCAGCTCTGACAGCTTGAAAACCACACCAGGCACGTGTGGGCACGCCCCAAGTCCCAGGAGAAAGGAGAAGGGATGGTGGCCTGGCCATCTCCCCAGAGGGTGATTTCTCACTTCCCCTCGCTTTGTCTCTCTCTGGTGAGCGCAGGTGCCTTGTGGCAAAAACCTGGAGAGAAATAAAGGACACCCTTCTGAGGCGGCCGTCAAGGCCTGCAGGCGCTCGTGGCCGGGGTGCGAGTGCAGCGCTCCTGTGGTGCCTCTGCCCTCAGGACTCTCCTTACGCAGTGGGACGTTCGAGACCCACGCTCCTCCTGTGTAGAATGCGCTGTACGGGGCAGGTGGTGTTACTCCCATGCTAACCGCTGTGGAAGGCCGATGACCAGAAAGCGCTTTCCCACGTGGCCCCGCACACTCCCGCGGAATCGCGAAGGACTCGCACACTCATTTATTTCACCTGTAGACGTTTGCCCTTGGCTTCCGCCCTTGCCTGGGTCTGTAGATGAGGTCTAGAGTCTAGATCTCGGGATGGCGAAATGAGAAGAAGTATGTCTTTCAGTGCTGGTCCCCACCTCTGCGAGTTCAGTGCGGCAGCGGTGACGGAGTACAGAGGAGGCGCCGGAGGAGGCCCCGACTAGGACGCTGCCAGCAGTGCGTGCCCCCGCGGCCTCGCTGCCCCCCCGTGGCCCCCACTGGCTCTCTAGATCTTGCAGAGCCCGCTATTCCGTGTGGGGCCGAGGTCGGGATAGCGCCCAGCCCTGCAGCCCAGCGTGACGAGGGGGCCCTCCTGAGGTCGGGCTTGTTCTGCAGAAGGCTCCTTCCAGGGGAGAGATGAATCTCTGCAGCCTCATCCATCTTGCCTCCCCTCGCTGCCAGTGTAACCAGCAAGCTCTCGTCCTGCCCCGTATACTTTTATTACAGGACTGTGACAGTCCTGCACGGGGCGCAGGGGACCTCGTGCACGCTGACGTTCTTCCTGCCGTAGGGCGTCCACGTCAGCCCCGGCTACCTCACTGCTCCGCAAACCAGGCACCGGACGCGCCTGCTTCCCCCACTCCGGGAGACGGGCAGCTCCTAGGCAGGTCGCTTTTCTGGAATGCTTTGGGCCTGGCCCTGGCGGCGAGGGCAGAGGGCAGCCCCACACAGTTCTGGAAGCCTGTGGGAAGGCTGGGTCCACCCCGGTGTGCCTGAGCGTGCCAGACACACGGCCATCCTCACTGGCTGCGGGCCGAGGGCAGGATTGTCGGGGGTTCTTATCCTTCTTTTTCTAAAGAAATAAAAAACCCCAAGAACTCTTTGATGGTCATGATGTATCCAGTGGCCCTTTGGACAGAGTAGATTTTGCTTTGTGGAGTGCGTGGTCTTTGGGGTGCAGTTCCCCATAGCCACTTTTTTTTTTGAGGGGGGAGAGGTTTTTGGTATAGGGTGTGTGCGCTCACCAGAGAGACAGAGAGACAGAAAGCCAAAAAGCGAGAAATAACCCCCCGGGGGGATGGGGTGCAGTTCCCCATTGCTATAGGGCACGTGTGCTTACCGGAAAGGCAGAGAGAGACAGAGAGACAGAAAGCGAGAAATCACCCCCCGGGGTGATGGCCATGCCATAATCCCTTCTCCTCCATTCTCCTCTTGGGATCTTGGGCACGCACACACACGCGCCGACATGAGTTTGAGCCACTGGGTCCGGGACTCAAACCACGGTCGACTACATGGGAGTCCAGCGACATGGCCATTATGCCAACTGCTGGTCCCCCCCTCCCCCTTGGCCACTTCTAGCTGGAAGTTTTTCTCTTTTGCATGAAGAAAGTCTTTCCTGTTAGCCTGGGGCCGCTCTGTGGGAACGTGCCAGGGGCTTGTTCTGCCCTGTGTTCCTGATTGGCCTTGGCAGCTCATTTAACCAACTTACATCTTAGTCTTCTTGTCTGGGGAGCAAGGACAGCGGCCCGTCTTTGTTGAGAGCTACTCTGGAGATGGAATGGGGCGAGAAGTGGGGCATCTCGGGCTCAGCAGCTCGCTCTCGAGAGCTCGCTCTGGAGTGGCTCCTCTCCCTCACCTGTCCTCTCTGCCACCCCCCTGTTGGCCCTTCCTACATTTTGTGGTGGGGGAGTCTGTCTCCATCCTCCCACTTTTCTATCTTTACATATTTGGTTCTTTTTACACCTGGCATTCTTTTTCTTTTCTTTTCTTTCTTTTTTTTTTTTTTAATTTTTGCCATAGGACACATATGCTTGCCAGAGAGAGACAGAGAGAAACAGAGAGAGAGAGAGAAAGTGAGGAATAACCCCCTGGGGGATGTCTACATCACAATCCCTGCTCCTCCATTCTCCTCTTAGGGTTTTGGGCACATGTGTCACACACCTGGCGTGATTCAAGCTGTCAGGTCCGAGGCTTGAACTGTGGTTGACCGTGTGAGAGTCTAGTGCCCTATCTGCCACGCCACCTCCTGGCCCCACACCAGGAAGTCTTAACCTTTGTTTTAGGTTTTAGGCATCTCCTAACCCCAATCAATTGTAAATAGAATTGTGTTTGCTTCAAGTGCAGTCCTGGGAGGTCAGGTCTGTAGCTTTTACCAGACTTACAGGGGTGCTGATGTCCTCCCCACCATTAGCATCGAAACCCGATGGGTGGCTGCTATTGGGAAACGAAGCTGATCTTTCAGCCAATGGCGGATGGGAAAGGTAAGAACACGAGCTTTTTCAGAGGTCGCTTACTTAGCCATGCCAGTTGGGGAGCACCTGGCTTGATTGAGTTTATCAGGCTGGCAGCTAGCCAAGAAGGGCACTGCACCCCGGGAGCTCTGTGAATGATCGGCTGTAGTCGCTGGCTCGAGAGCATTGTGGGTACTGCCCAGAGCTGAGCAAGGCCTGCCAGTCTTCTGGGCAGCCTGAGCCGTGGGCCGTGTCCTGGGCTGGCCCGTAGTGCACTGGAGGGCCCGGAGAGACTGAGAGTGGTGCTCTCCCGGGCCAGCTCTCCCTGGGCATATCTCAAGTTTAAGCCTCTGGCCTCCCCATCCGAGGCAGCGTCTGCAGAACACCCACAGCCTAGAGCACTCACCAGGGAGCCTTGCGTCTCTTGGTCACAGTAGGCTGCGTTGTGTGGCTGGGCACCGGGAAATTCGAAGCGGGAGGTTTGGGGAGGTGAGTGGCATGGGGTAGTGGTCTGGCGTCTTTTGCGTAAGCACGAAAGTGGGAGTCCCTCTGGAGCCTGGTGTGGACCGAGAGTGAGAGAAATGAGCGCTGTCTAGGTTAGAGCAGGACGGGAGGACGCAGGCAGCAGGGACCACTTAAACCCCTCCTCGATTTCACTCTGGGAGGTTTGCAGCCTGAACACACGAGTCACGCGTGTGAGGGTGTGCGTACGAGCACGCGAGGGGCCCGTGTGGCAGACCCGGTCCTGCTTTGAAGAGCTCTGTGGCCGAGAGCTGATTGCTGCACCCCGGGTCTTTGTCTTGTGTGCAAGGGAACACCCGCCCTGCCTACCTCGCGAGACGTTGTGAAGGGCCCGAGGCTGATGGACGTGCTTTGAAGAGTAGACTGCCTGTGTGGCACGCCCTGCCCTGCTCCGTCCCACCCGAGGGGCCTGCGCCCGGAACAAACGGCAGGCAGCGCTTCTACGGGAACTTGTTCGGGCTCAGACGTGAGATGTTCGCATTTCTTCCTGTCTTTCAAGTGTTTTCACCCACCCGTCTGTTAGAGGTCAATTAGTGTCCCAATAGAGGCTAAGATGTTTTTAAATATTTTAAATATATCTGTATGGTGTTTTATATTATTTTCCAAAAAAAAAAAAAGGCAAAGTGTTTTGGGGCCGTAAGTTCCGCACTGCACCTGACAGGACGCCCTGCCCGAGGAGGGAACCACAAAGAGCAGGGCTGTGCGGTTCTGCCCTGAGACTGCGCGAGAGGAGCATCGTCGCCCCTGTGCCCCGCGAGGTTGGCAGACTTCAGCCAGTGGGCTTTTCTCCCACGTGGCTGCAAACTGGTAACCGCTGGCTTGCAAGCTTTTCCTGCAAACAGGGTCGGCACTGTGGGGTGGAGAGGACAGCCCCCCAAAGCCAGTGGAGACAGCTGTGTCTCCATGCTGCAGACGCCGGGGTCTCTGGCTGCTGCTGTAATGGACAGATCAAGATTGAGGGCTTGATGGGGTGATTTAGGCTCCCGGGGCATAATGAAAGCTGACAGGGATGGCTGTGGAAGACAGAGCTGCAGCTCCTGAGGAATGTGGCCTGATTACTGAATGAGGCAAAACAGGTTCAAGAAAAATGAGGAACACAGGAGACTCGGAGGGCAGTTGCACCAAAGGTAGCTCATTTTAGCAGGGGGTACATACGGGGTAAGTGAAAGAGGCAGGGGCATCTTTAAGAGCAAATAAGAATAATGTATTGGTGGTGGGGGAAGGGGAGAAAAACAAATGGGTTTTTTGCCTGCTGGTCTTAAGGGAGTATGCTGACAGATGCCCGGAACCAACGTAAATTTCCCTAGGGAAGATAAAATACTCAAAAAAAAAAAAAAAGATTGCTTTATAGCAGGCGATCCAGAGACGAGTGCCGTCGACGGGAAGCGCACAATTCGTCGGGACCTGCCGATTGAGTTTTAGCAAGGGCATGGCCGCGTGAAGCAGTTGTCTGGCACATTGTGCTGGAGTTGAAGGTA